TGGTCCCTGTGCTTTGTCTAAGCTTGTTCTAAGTAGGTGCTTTAGACCACTGAGCCATCTCACCAGCCCCAAACTCAGGTCTTTGCACTTGCCAGGGAAGCACTTATTCCACTGAGCCGTCTCCCCAGCACCTGAGAAGAGAATTATGAAAAATCATTTAAAATTTTAAATTCTCTTAGAAAACTGAGGGTACTTTGGAAATATAAGACACTCACACAGCAACAGACCACAAATAAAGAAATGAAACCTGCATATAATATGGTAACTGAAGACAGAGTAAAAACATGGCTCAAGGGGCTGGGGAAATGGCTCAGTAGAAAAAGCACTTGTCTGGCAAGTGCAAGGGCCTGAGTTCAATCCCTGGTTCCTCAAAAAAGCAAAAACAAAAACAAAGCATGGTTCAAAATCAAGACTTTGGTTCTCTCAGGCTTTTCTTTTACTTTCTTTTCTTTTTTCTTGCGGAACCAGGGATTGAACTCAGCCTCTTGCACTTGCCAGAGAAACACTTATCCACTGAGCCATCTCCCCAGCCCCTTTTCTTTTACCTTCAATTCTGGATTTGATTCTTCTTTCATAAATTTGTTCATACTTGATGACATTAGGTTATTTATACAGTCTTACTTTTGGAAACTCAGCAGTACTATGAAGACAACAATATGCAATGTATTAATTTTTGTAACTGTCCTACTAACCTGTTTAGAAACTGTTTCATTGCTATTTTTCCCATTAAAATGAATAAAAATTTTAAAAAAAGAAAAAAGAAACTCAGCAGATTTATTTTTCAATGCTAGTGATTGAAACTAGGGCCTTGGGCTGGCAAGATAGCTCAGCAGTCTGAAGTGCCTGCTTAGGCAGGCTCAGGGGACCACAGCTTGACCCCCAGCACCACCTACCATGCTAGCCCCACCCTCAGGGCAGGTTGAGCCAAAAAAAAAAAAAAAGAAAGAAAGAAAGAAAAGAAACCAGGGTCTTGAATACACTAAGCTACAAACTAGCCCTCCTCAGTATTTTTTGTTTTCTCAATACCATTTCTTCAGGGTAATAGCAGTTTTTGTTTTGTTTTGTTTTTCTTTTTGAGACAGGGTCTTGCTATGCAATTCAGGCTGGCCTTGAGCTTACTTTGTAGCCCAGAATGGTCTCCAACTCCTAAAGATTCTCCTGCCTGGAAATAGCAGTTTTGATGCTATATTCCTTTCTTGTGTGATTAAAGTGAAAGATTGATTCAGAGACAAAAATAATGATAAAGGGGCCAGGGAGATGGCTCAGTGGAATAAGCACTTCCCTGGCAAGTGCAAGGGCCTGAGTTCAATCCCCAGTTCTGCAAAAAAAAAAAAAAAAAAGACTAAGGGCCTGAGTTCAATCCCTGGTTCCACCAAAAAAAATTAAATAAATAAATAAATAAAATAAAAATAATGATAGGGACAAGATTTAAAGGTAAGAATGAATACATATATTTTGAAGTTACTAGAAAAGGCAAGGGATGTGTCCACTTCTGAGGTTCTAAGCTAGTCTAACATTTTCTATTTTGTAAACAAAAATTTTTTAAATTCCTTTGTGCAGAGCAATCC